AATTGAGAAAAACATTTTTACAAATAGGTATCACTTTTTATGTACCTAATAAAATTGTATGTATTCCTTCATATACTTCGAAAAAGTTATAATAAGGCCTTAAGTGGTCACATGGGCTGGCAAGAATCCACCAAGACAAAGATAAAAATTGCCTTTCACAATAGAATTACACCCCCCCCCCCATTGTCAATTGGAGAAAAGTCGTCCGGCACAATTGCTGACAGGGCTGAATCAAGCAGTTTTTTTAAAGAGGAGTTTTCCATAGTGAAATGAGCAAATCAGTCCTTGATCAAAACCCCAGTACAGGACCTTTAGCAAGCCGCTCCCCTGTGAGAGTCAAAATTCTCGAAAAAATAATGGGCAAAGCAAGGAGGGGTGTGCCTCCTTTTCCCAGCTACTTCTGATAGAGCAGTTATGAAAAAAATTCTTTGGCTACGATAACCGAGAGGGCGGCACCTCTGCGCCGGGGAGAGGAGCCCCTAGCGCTTACAGCACCTGCACCGCCGCTCCCTCAAACGCACCCAGCCGCCAGCCCCGGAAACACTGCAGGGAACAAGATGGCGTCACCACGCAGTCTCGCCGCGCCCCTGCGGACTCCGCACTGCGGCAGGCGACCCGAAGCCGCACCTGATTGGCCGGCTGCGGTGAGGTCATCGTGGGGGCGGAGGCCGACGGGGGCGGGACTTCGGGGACGCACGCACGTCGTAGCGCTGCTGCTGCCCGGAGCCGCGGAGACTGCGGGCTTGGTCTGCGGCGGCAGCTTGGCTGGGGCTGAGCCGGCACCTGGAGGTGAGCGGGGGCGGGCGGGGGGGAGGGGGAGGGAGACTCGGCGTACAGCGCGCCAGGGAGCGGCCTCCGGGGGGGGACGGGCAGCCTTTCTAATAGCTTTGTCGCTTGTCAAAGGAATTAGCAGCAGTTTATTTTTACATCATTTTGTGCCTTTTTCCATCTCAGTTGTAATCCTCTTGGGCTTCCCATCACCAAATCACCCATGTGCCATCACCATAGTCCAGTGCACTTTCTTCCCCCCACCATTTTTGATCCCATTCCCCACTCCACCTCCGTATTATTATTATTTTCTTCCTGGGTCCTTTTTACCCCTGGTATGAGTGAAACCATTTGGTGTTTTTCCTTTTCTTTCTGGTTTATTGCACTAAGCATGATCTTTTCCAACTCCTGGATGGCATTCTTTAGGCAGCCTGAAATTCTATCAACCAACCTTGGAGAAGGGAGGTGGTTGGAAGAAGAAGATATGAGTCCACACATAGGCATTTAAACCTGACAAAAGGCAGGACTGCCAAGTAAGAGAGCATGGAAGGAAAAGAAATAGAACACCAGAGGAAGGTTCATGGCAGGAGATTAAAGGAGTCAGAAGGGGAACTCAGACAGGATATACTTTCAAGGAAGTCATGAAAAAAAGAAAGTTTAAGGGAATTAAGGTTGTCTTAACAGTTGGACTTACTAGTTTGTGGTTAGCAAGTGGCTGACTCTGAGGTTTAAAAAGAATTTTTTTAAGTCTCAGAGGAAGGAAATGACAGTCATTGTGCAACAGTTTTGTGAAGTTTGTCAAGTTTTCAAATGTTGGTCCCTATCTGCCTTGCCTGGAATGTTGAGAGATCTAAAGAGCACTGAAGATCACAATGAAAGGGAGGGCCTGGGCTTCTCCAGGTGGTGCTTCTCAACTAAATCCTGAAAAAGCCAAGCCTTCTCTTCTCTCACAATGTGAGATGGAAAGTGCAAATGAAATGTCGATTTTTGCCTTTCATTATTTTAGTTAGGTTGGTTGGGCAGGATTGCTATCCAATGCTTTTGCCCGGTCAAGTCAGGTTTTTATCTGAAATAGCTCCCTCATTAGACTAGAATCTAATAGGCCTCCACCACCCACGAAGACCGAAGAACCGGTTGTCTGAGTTTCTCCTGACACCATCTAGTTATTACTAAAGAACTTGAAATTTCTACTGTCCTTAAAAGAAGGGCAAGGGAATCGATACAG